TTAAAAAATATCGACAACAAATTTTTTTAAATACTTATGTAACACAATAAATAGGTATTGAATTAGTGGTAAAGACATAAAACTATAAAATGATAAATACGTGTGTAGATCATTTATAGAAGAACACTGTTGTTTTAAACTTCCAAAAAGTTCTTATGACTTCCAAAGTGAATGAGGGTAGCTTTAGTTATGTAAGCAAAGGAATGAATTAAACCATGTAATTTAATAATTCAGTTAATGGCTCTGTGGTCAGTATGTTCTAGAATTAATTCTGACTCGAAATTTATTAAATATAACCTTACATGGTTACTTGACGTCTAGCAACCTAGATTACTAGTGGAAAGTGGGAATAAAAACATGTAGATATAATGCATGTGAGACACTTAATATTAAGTCTGGCTTTTATACACTCTCAATAATATGTTAGTTATGCTAATTATTATTTTAGCACATTTAACATGTCATTATTACTTATGTCAGTTAAACTTTGCAACATAATTATTAGACAAACATCTCTTTATCAGTGTGGTGTCTTTTCTTGCAATGTTTCATTTAAATTTTTAAAAAATCTTTTCATTGTTTATAATTACGCTTAAATTAGCGTTTTACTGGAGCTACCTTTTCTTAATTTTTACTAATAGCCAACAGCTTTTATTTAATCTAAGTAAGTGCAAAAGGAATTATGTTTAACCTTCACAATTCAAAGAATCATTTTAAGAATCTATTTTTAAAAGCTGGCTTAAATATAAAATATAATATGTAAGTATATCTACATTAATTACAAAAATCCAAATATAACTGTTCCATGTCATGATTCTTATGGGATTTCACTTTAAATTTTTTTGATTTTCAAACCGAGTTATGCATGTGTATATGCACTTGAGTAATTCTCCACAGGCAAGAATTTTACTAGTTTAAGAAATTCTCCAACGTATTTCAGATTTTATTCTTGATTTTTACCCTGAATTACTTAAATAAAGATAACAATGTTCATTTTTATTTGATTGCATATTAATTATACCTCAGTTGCATCACATCTAGCATTTGTAATCTCTCATACAAGAGTTGGGCCAGTAGAGACAGAATAGTAGAGACACATACCTTCTTTAGGCCAGAAAGATGAACATCCTTTAGTGGGAGACCAGGTTACTCTTGTAAACAAACATCTGTGGTCTTCACAAGCTGCCCAGTGAAAGCTCAGAGTGAAGCAAGAGTGGAAAAAGTAGATTTCTCATTAATGTGTCACTTAAAGTCTGAACAGGAAATTCTTACACTTGGGGTATTTTGAAAATGGTTTATTTCATCACACACCTCCAGAATATAGGATACTTTGGGTTGGTGGTGTGTTTTTTACTTTGCCCATTGGCAAGTGCCTCTGAGAAATTATTTTCTTATTCTCAAAGATTTCTGGGGACAAATGTCTTGACCACCCATGTTGTTAACTGCTTCCATCTTAATCACAAACATTGAAAACTTAGGCCTTATTAAGATTAGCTTAGATGCTTAGATTCTGGTCTTAGGCAGGGCTGCAAAATTCTCGCATTACAGACTTTTCCTTGTACTCTCATTATGTCATTTCTATTAAAA